ATTAACCCTCTATCAAAAATATGTGTACAAATGACTGAATGGTAAAACCAAACTGAGCATAAAAATGAGCCAGAATCTACGCCACTAGATTCTGACACTCAACCAAGCAAAGGGAAAGGGTATTATCCACAAATTCTCCTGCCATCTAGGATGCCAAGCAACTCTTCGTATTTCACACCGAAGATTTGAAATCCTCTCCTTTCTGGAACCAAAAGGGAGAGGTGATACATGGCGCTGAATCACGCCTAGGCCAACGTGCATCTGTAGCCGTATCGTACGCACTACTGCACATCCACTTTCCACAGGGAAAGGTCCGCTCTTCACCGAGTGAAGAGAATGAAGCTCGCATCGTCGCGACACTTCCCTTGAGCCAGGGGGAGCCCTCTACCACGTGGAGTATATCACCGAGCCTATCACAACGCTGGGAACTCTCCCCTGATTTTGGGAGAGACCGATGCGCTCCCCTTCGAGCTCGAGATAACTCCAGACTTGACTGATCAACTCAATCAGTCGACGGATCGACAGTAAATAAAGTAGATGGGGACTGGACAAAGTTATGGTCTCGTTAGAAAACCACAAATACCTAGGGTATCACCAGGTGCGTTCACTTTTATGACCTTTCCTTAAGTGCTCACATCATCTACGTCGCCCTAGCTCAATCTGAGATGTTACACATAAGTTTTCCAAGTTTTCCGAATTCGAAAGATTGGGAACTGAGTTCCAATTACACATATAGTTTTTTTGAGGTGGGTTGACAACCGTGACGGATCTTTGGCCCACTTCTAAGAATCTCAACATCTGGTTCATTCCACATTTTCATTATAAATAGGTTGTCAAGATTGTTGAGAAGTCGTTTACAGCCCCATTGTAATACTCGGTGAAATTAATCGGATAGGTCAACTCAATTGCTAGTCGCCCCAGAAATATCTATTCGCTAAGGAAATCAGAAATTGGACTGATTTCGCGGCGTTCAAAATTATCTACTTGATAAATTATTGAGTAAGCCTTATTTGAAGGCAGTTGGCAGATAAATCCCCAAGACGAGTAGGATTAATCTGCCTGGCAGGACGGAACTCCGTGCCCATGAGCAGGCTTTGCGTAGCGTCTTTTCCAAGAAAAGTACTCTTATAAGGCCCCAGCAAGCTGCAACATACCAACCCAAACGCCCACCCCGCCCGCCCGCCCACAAATGGACGACCGTTCTGATGCTCGTATTGCTTCATTTGCTCAGCAAGATATGAAGCGAAGGGATTGATATGAAGCGACCGCGGTGCTGCATAGATATATAGATACATACGTGCAGTGTGATTGCCTACGGGAAACTCGTCCAAAATTGCTTTTGAATTATTAAGGACGAGGGCTCTTCTTTCAGCTTTTTGACCGTTTTACATCACCTTTTTGCGATTTTCCTTCTATATTACACCCTGTTGGAATTTCAGACCGAGTACCAAATTATCGTGCCATATGATAAAGAAAACAGACTGTAATAGCCATTGAGCTGAGTGGTCAAAAGTGGCCTCGGTAGCGTAATAGGGAACGCAACTGCCCGGTAAGCAGAAGATGCGGGTTCGAATCCCGTCCGTGGTCCGACTTTTGCCCATAACTCAGCATTCTTGTGATAGCTTTCGGATCGCGATATACAGACCGTTAAACAGCAGTTATCAAAACATAACAGCTTGAGACTGTAAAGTCATGAAGAAATAAAACTACTTTCAAAGAAATAATTCCTCTTCAGAGTATCGTGAAAAGAAAATATCGCGCCGAAACTTTTAGGTACTGCATATGGAGTAAGGAAATGAAACCAGTATGATAGCTTTATCTTCCAGATCCAACGAAAAAGCTAACCCGGCATTGTGAACCCACCCACATGTAGCCCTCGCACAGCAGTACAACATTTGCAGAAGCTGCACTCGCTCAGCTGTTTGTCGTAATCACTTCTATTTGCTCAGGACCCACTGTTTTCCCTCAATTCTCGGTGAGCCTTTTTGACGTCTGGCGGCGGCTCACCCGTGCAGCAATCGAGTTTCAAACTCTCGAAACCGGTCCTTTTGTACACACAAACGGAATCGAACTTGGTTCAGGACGTACTGAAAGTTTCAAGAGGTAGCCTCATCGCACGAAAGCAATGCATAAGCCGGGACGGATGAAGCCTCAAGTTCTGAAGCAAAGAGAAAAGTTCGTTAAATAGACTAAATAGAGGTGAACAATGTGTGGCTTGACTGAGAAGGACACGTAACAAAAACCGCCCTCGAGTATTTTTAAAGTTTTTACGAAGTAGTGGACGGGGCTTACCTTGAAATTGTCGCTTTTTCCCCAAATGGAGCCATCAAAGCCACAAATGGCCGCTTTGCTGACATTACCAGAGCCGACGAGGTTGTTGTTTACGAGATCCGCCCAAGACATCTGCAAGAAATCAAAGACATCTTTTTTGAAAACTTTTCAAATATTCATATTACGTGAACGGGCTGTACGAAATACAAGAGTCATGAAAAAGTAGTAATAATCAAACGAAAAAAAAATCGAAAGCGCTTCATAAGACAAAGGGCCCATAAAACGAGAGTAAAAATCGATGTGAAGGTACGGAAGTGGTGAGGGTTTGGTCCATTACACTGATCACCCCCTCCCCTTCCCCTCCCATAAGCGTTTAATTGATTGGAAGTTTTCGGCTGAGCTAGTTATGTATGTCAGTGAGTTTCCTAGAAGCCATCGATCGATTATAGGGAAGAGAGCAGGACTGAAATCTGGGCGAGATATTCGAGTGAACTCAATCGTTTGCCTCGGTCTTAGCGCACTTCTTGGAACGGTACCGATGATCGAATGGGAACGCCCTCACTTTTGTTGACAAGGAATCACACAATATGTTCGGATGATGGGCATCCTCCACAATATATCACAAAATAACCACAGTTGAAGGGTTTTATATAGGACACAAGCTCGGTGAAGCGTGGTGGTGACAAATGAGAATGTAGTTCATTTCGGGATTTGTATCAGCTAGTGGCACAAAAATGGGATGAATGTGTTCACTGGACCTAATGGACCCGGCGTACAGAAAACCGAATTTGTTGCCGTGAAACACATAGGGTTGGTCGTATGTTCCTTCGAGAGAAATTTGCCATGTTGGGAAAAAATTTCTCCAGGTTGTTGATTTTTCGTGATTTTTCCTGTTTCACGTATGCTATGTACCCCTCCCCCGCCCCTTCCCCACCCTCACATTCAGGGCACATCGTTGGTTGGGGAATCCCCAACAGGGGGGTCGTATTTGGCCGCCAGGAGAGGGGGGGGGTCGTAGTGAGTGCGGCAGCCAGTAACGACCAGCGCAAATTGTCAATGTGCTGAGTCCTGTACAACGAAACTTGCTTTGTAGAGAACTCGGATATGCAAAAAAATAGTACAAAACTTTCATTCATCAAACTAATCCGAAATAACTGCAAATATTAATAAGTCGACATCATCTAGGTCCGTTGGTGACTAAACAGTACAAACAGTCAAACTCTGGTTCGCTGCCAATGATATGGCGTGTCCGCGGTCGCGCTTGGCGCTGAGCCAACCTGTTTTTTCTCGACAAGCGACAGGACTACCATATCGTTCATATCAGACGTTTTCCAGCAGTTGGTCTCCTTTATCGGAGTCAGCGATTGGCAGAGCACGAATCTGGCAGCGTTGACAGGGACATGTTCCATCATACGCAACGGAAAACACTGTAAACAAGTGCACAGGCTCGCCATGGACCTCCCTGAACCTTATAGACACATTTGCTCGCGTGAACAGACATTACGCACAAGTTGCACCATCCCATCACCTCTGCGCGGCCCTCAGTGCGCGGCGCATCCAAAGTTGACGCTGCTCCTGCTCCACCACAGGATACGTTCTACATGCGTTCCTGGCTATTCGAACACGCTCACTTGAAACGGTACACAGGAAACGGGTTTTTCGCGCAGCTGGGAGTGTTCCTCAAGAAATCCCCATAGCGAGATCTCATGAATCCCGAGAGCTTCAGAAACAGTTCAAGAGGTTTTCAGAAAGAGAAAATCTTCAAACACTCGGATCCGTTCTCAGATTTGTGAAATGTTGAGTTACAAAAAAAATATATTGGTTCAAACCTGTTCAACTTAAACTTCAACCCTTCACTCCCCATGGAATCCCTATGGGCAGATTTCTCTGTGATTTTTGCGACCTTCATAAACGTTTCAGTACATTTAGGAAGTGCAATCCTTCCTCTACACGAATACGGTCTCCTCTTCCCCACAGGTCCGCTTTTGAGGAAGTTATGGTCCTTCAAAGACACCCTACTTTGCTGAAAATTCTCGCTCCATGGCTAAAATTGCCGAACGATCTGCGGTCACATCTGCAATTACATGCGCTTCTGCTACCGTACTCCAATAATCGGGGTAATGCATTTTTACGGCGGTTTGTATAACTGTTACGTAGTGAGACAAGCCTAACTTTCTCTTTTCCTCGTCCTCAATCTTGGGAATAGACGTTGTTAACACTGTGGTCGCTGATGGCCGCTCCCAGAGAGGGAGTCCACCTCAGGTTAACGAATGCTCATTGAATTTAATCGCGATATATTGTTATTATTACCATGTGTGTTTCAAAACGGCCATCGAAGAAGTTCATACGAGTTTCTCATAATACGATTGTACCGTTTTTTGTTTACAATCATTTCTGTATTGTTCTATTATGTCATGACTTCAAGTCGTCCATTTAGTATGGGCACCTTCATACAAGTAGAATTTCATAGTGGGCGTTTCATAGTTTCATTTAAGGCGAAAAAACCGAACGGCAAAAAAAGGGGGGGGGGTCGTACCGAACCCCCAAAAAAAGGGGGGGGGTCGTACAGGCTCGACCAAAATCCCCATCGAATGCTGTGCCCTGCTCCTCTAGGGAAAATCTCTGGGTGAAAAACAGGAAAATGTGGGTAACTGGTGGGAGTTGAGGAAAACGGGAGGGGTAGTACCGACACTACCATTTCACACATCCACCATACTGTACCCTGAATGGACCAACTTCGAGAACTGCTGGCGATGGAACTGTTTGTTAGGAAGTGGGTCAGCGGGAAGAAATGCGTATGTACTCAGTTGTATTTTACGTCTTCCCCAAAAAACTCTTAGTTTTCAAAAAACAATAAGTTTGAAGGTACACTAAGCACCACCTCGAGATGCATTAATTCCTAACATATACTAACCGACGTCGCGCCAGTTTTCTAGAATTTCCTCACTCTTGCTCATCGAGGGCGCTAAGAGGTTCCACTTCATGAATGGCAGTATAGACGTTCAAAAATGCCCGGGCCGCGAAACAGTGTAGCGAGTGCCGCTCGATTTTACAAGCTCATTTTTAGTCCCTTCGTAGCTATATCTAGAGAGTACGGAATGCGCCTTCAAGGCTATGTTAAGACTGTTTCTGAGAAAATAAGCAACGGCGTCAGTCGAAGACCTTAATTCGAGACACGGGATTTCAAAGGCAGCAAGTATTCTGCACCTCACCATCATTCCTCATCACCATCATTCGAAGAGAAATGCCCAATTATTTAGTGACGGCATGAAACAGTAGCGGAGTTTAGGTTAACGCTTCAATTAGCTACGAAGTTCGTGACAGGACTTTTTTTGCTAGATGTTGGTACTCTTGGATGCGGTAGCGTCTTGGGTTGTGAGGAGAGAGGAAGTTAGGCAAGTGAGCTGGGAAGGGAAATGGAATGTCCTTAGGCTTAGTCGGAACATCTCAAGTCAAAGGCTTATGAAAACTGTTGCCACGAACAAATCAGTAAGTTCAATCGTGCTATGTAGAGGCTGCCATGTAATCATGCTTATGAATTCTTAACAAGAGAAATGTGAGCTTGAAGGGCAGAATGCGCACCCGCCGCCAAGATTAGCCAGAGGTACATTCCGCGAGCACATTCCGTAGACTTTCGGGCCGAAATATGAACTCGCTGACGTCACTGTTACCTTATTGTAGTGAAAAAAGTAGCGGCACAACGGTCTGATGTTCCTTAAAGAAGGCTCTGAAAAAAGTAAAAGAAAATGAAAAAAGTTTCTCAAGAATCGAGAACTGCCGCGCGGACGAGGGACCAGAGCTAGAAAAGAACAGAACAGGAAGACGAGCGAAATTACACGATGTTATGTTATGCAGAAGCAAAAAAAACCAGGAGCAGGTCGAGGAAGGGGGTTTCAACCCTTCTGAGTTATTTGTTCTCCTTCAGATCAATAATATTAGGAGCACTATCTAAAAATATAATGTTGTAAGATGATGATAATTGTTGTTCGGTGAGGCGGAGAAGAATAGTGGCAAATGAAGCTACTTCCCGTGAAGCTGGATCCCGGACGTTGAACTCCAACAACAGCGGAAACTTTATCTTGTGAGTTTTTTTTCTGAAACCCTGAAGTTACGACCCTCCTGGCAGCTGTCCTAGCGTGGGATACTTTGGAAAACTTGCGGTGAAATGGTCCTTGGTTATGAGTGAGCCTCCCGCGGCTTACTAAACGAAGGATCAAGCTTGACCGGGTGTTCGTTTTCATAACCTCTGGTTTGCTTTATTATGTTCCATGATCCTATAATCTTTCCATAGCCTCAGAAACTTTAACGATATATCAACCTATCGTGTCAACGTAGCGACGGCGTGGCGTGCTATGGCAAGATTCTCCGCCCTTTCCGTGCCGAAACCCTCACCTCTAACCAATCATCTCCATTTTTTCCTTGAAATAATTTTTTCGTGATAACTGAAACGGTCAGAAAAAGCCCCAATTGTGCATTATGGGAAGTCTCGATGAGGACATTGGAAGACGCGATTTTGGCTCGTCCCAAGTTTTTTTTTCGTTACTTGGAAAGTATACTCGAAATCCCTGAGATCGGGTAGGCGGAGCATTCGAACACTGTAAGGAACTGGTTACTAGTGGAATATTCCAGTCTGGGACAACTGTCATCTTGTTCTGTGTTGGACAGAGACACGACAACGATTGTGTCGAGATGAAAATATCGCATCAGAAGCGTAGACGCCTTAAGGTAAGTTGAAACATGCGGCCACGCCTACCCGATCTCAGGGATCTCGAGTGTACACAAATACACTTGTGTTCAGAGATAAAGAACCACTGGCATGTCTCGCCCCCAGATGGGTGATCCTCTGTATAGAGCCCTTCTTCGCCTTATGACGATCACAGCGTTTTCGCCTTTTACTGTCGAACTTCGTCACAAAACTTTGCAGAATTACGTTGTCACAGCTTGAAAGATTACTTAGCTTGCGCAAGTAGTCGTTACTCCAGCGGAAACAGTTTTTCTCCCTCAGTTACTTTTTGCAACTGTAAAAAACTGTTTGTCGTTAAAAATGTTTTTTTATATCATTGAATGCTTAGCGATTCGCTCAAAAATGCTTTTTTCGCTCAAAAAAGCAAAAAAGTGGCACGTGAATAGAG